AAGAAGAACTGAGAAGCTGAGAGGGAACATGGAACTGGCCATTAGGTTCGTCATCGATTAGTTCACACTGAAAAGTCGAAAAGCGACAAAACCAGACTTCGAAATTGGAGTGAATCCAATTTGGCGGGTTTTGGAACTTTGAAGTGTATTTATTTTCCAAATTGGATCTTGTTCTTGAATTAAATGTTATCCCATTCGGAAAATAATTGAATTAGAACTATTTGACCCTTTTATATTTGAGAGGTTAGTGTTTACGTTTACATTCCACCCCGCTTAAAGCCAAACGTACTTTTGTACGATGTTTTATGATTTAATCGCGGGATGCGTCGGGAACTTTGCAGTAACAAGGATGTACGACCAATAGAATATACAATAGACGCTCGTATTTCGCAGCTTTTGGTAAGTTCGCGCGTGTAATTTGCCCAAGCAATGAAACACAGGTCCGCCTTGCGTACACAAGTGATCTGCACCGCGACCCCAGGCCAGAGCTTCGGCTTATTTTAGCGTGCGTTCCTTTGGGGTGATCTGGATCAGGATCAGTGATCCAAGATCACCCCGGATCATCAGGGGTACATCAAAGGAACCGATGAATCCAAGACCAGGGTGCATTCATCGGTTCCTTTGATACATCATGATCTGAGTGATCTTGGATCATTGATCCTGATCCAGATCACCCCAAGGGAACGCACCCTTAGTCACGTGGTCGGCGAAACGGAGGGGCTCCTAGTTGTAACGACGAGAGTGCACGTTTACCAGGAAATAGCGTGTTGATCAGGTGTCTATCCAGGATGAGTCTCTCCTACGTCAATCTGATCACTACAGGCTTACTTACACAAAAATATGTACTGCGCTAATTTGACCCAGAAAACAGAGTTCCGAAAAAACTTACAAAATATATTTTTAAACAAATTTACAAGGGTTTCTCACACACAGTATGTGGTAAATAGTGTACTTGGTTGGTGTCAGGCTACACCGAAATTATTTTGAGGTCAAGTAATGTTTAATAGCCTGTGTGCATCCGCCCCCTCCACTCAAAAAAATGTACACAGGCTAAGTTATATTTGTTCAAACGTCTTCCCAGTGGTATATAGAAATGAAATTCTCGAGACCCCATAATATTGTTTGAAAACCGCTGCATTTTTTTTCCAGTACCAGTCCCGGTAGCTGTGAGAGAAGATCAGGTTCCTACATATCCTAGTAGTGACACCAAGTGTTGTGTGACAAGAATGAAAGCATCATGTGACACATTATTTCCGTCACATTACAAGACGTTGATTTCGTGACAGGTCGCGAATGCCGTGCATGGCGGTGGTTTCCGCTTGTTTGTTCTCTCACAGTGGGGGTGATCTTGTGGTCAGTGGCCATTGTATTTGACAAATTGATTAATTGTCTGCTTGCCGTGTTTTGAAAGAAACTTGAAGGAGCTGTTCCTCCTTACAAATCACTGTTGAACGATATAGAAGAACAGAAATTAGTCTGAGCTGTGTGGAAATACCGTAGTCATCGCAGGACGCGGTAGATTCTCTCTCCATGCGTGGTGAGTACAACTGCGCGCTTGTCACTGCATGCTAAGCTTATATTCTAAACAGTCATTCTGATATCTATAGCTATAAAATCTACAGGAAGTTATTGTGGTTTTATGATTCCGTGGTAGGAAATGTTGTTTGACGGCCAAATATATTGTGCTGAAAAGGAGATCGCGAAGTCAAACTTCAAACGAAACCAGATTATTTACAGTGTTTACAGTACGTTCGATCAAGTTGAATTCTTAGCAAGTTGATCTCTCGAAGTCATTTCTAAGGAGTACAAGCGTCGTAAAAAGTAGAGCCGTACAATGGTTAATCTAAGTTTGCTGTTTATTTCATGAACAGTGATGAATGTATGGATTATTCGAGAAGTAAGGTTTTAAAACGATTGTCTCGCTTTTATTAAATCCTGGTTCAAGGGGTTCTCAGAGGCCTTTCAGTTTTGACTGAAAGCAGACCTCTTTGGGTAAACGTATAGGGTTTTTTCCCTCTAGAAACACCGAATAAGCTTGGAACTATTAGAAACGACAACATTTAGACTTCTTGTTGCCGTAATATTGTCATGTGGTTAAAGTTTTACACGTCCGCTAATGGTATAATAGGGATGTCCATTGTCGCGAGACCTTTTAACGGAAAGTGATCAATTACGTACAATAATAACACTAGATTTTACCCACTCAGACTGTCATTTAGAAATAGCAAGGCTTAGATTCACTTGATGATCTTTGCGGTTGTTTTTTCTTACTGCTTCTCTTCATCTTTAGTAACGTTCTTTAGCGTTTGGTGACACAAGCCAAAAGTGTGACTTGAACACGTTTTTTTTAACCGCGTGCCTTTCAGATACAAGATTAGATCAAAGTAGATCTACGTTCGCGCGTGAAATAGGATCTATTGCAGGAATTAATGGCATATTTGTTCGTCAGAAAGAAAGAACTCCTGTGCTTTTTATCTACTGAAATTATCCTTTCACCGTATTTTTACCGCATCTTGGACCGTGGCAATATTGGTAATGGTCGGTGTTGATAATTGGATGATGTAGTTAGTGTGCTATTCAATAGCACATGGTGGCGTGAAAATTGACACTTGAAGTAGTTAAAAATACAAATGCCAATTACAGTGAGTTTATACCTGATAAAGATTATAAAGCGTGATCTTGCTACAGACTTGTAAAAAATTGACAGTTTACATTAAACATTTGCTATTTCATAAAGCTCATTAATATATTTTTATATTATGTTTGATATAAACGATACATAATAAATACAATTTTTATAAAAGTGGAGCAAAGAAGACTGAGTCTATGAGTAGAGCCAATTTATACAATTTATTAAATATAATGAAAAATGTGTGCACTAATGAAATTTAAATTTGTTTCCAGTAACTCAACTCAATTTTTTTACCTTTGATAGAACATAGATTGCAATGGTCTCTCTCACCTGCAAATGTTTCCTCTCTCATATTTTAAGCAGTTGTGTGAATAATTTTGATTTTATACCACTCTTGTCCCTAGAGGCTGCAATTCTTTTGGTCAGCATTTTACGAGGAGCCCAAAGTTTCTCAACCATGAAATCCTGGGTCCCCAGCACTTAAGCTTATATGAAAAAGAAAATTTATCCACTCGTCCAAAGGGAATGTTAGCTACCTGTGGCCCCCGGGTGCTTCTAGAGTACAGCTCTGGTATTCGTATTCATATTTTGTTTTGTATTCTCAACCAATCAGAGAAGTTCGCAAAGGGGAAGGGGATGGGAATGATGTTTTGTATGACCTCAGTAAATCAGCTGGTAAATCAATGAATTATAATTACTACATAGAGTAAAAATTCATCATCCTGATTGATTCTCTCTGTGCCTATTTGCAGAGGCAGATCTAGGATTTATCAAGGGGGGAGGGGGAGGAAGGTGGCTGATATCTTGGGGTTGTAGAATCAATGGGGCATGCTCCCAAAATGTTGTAACTTGAGAACTGGAACCTAAATCTGTCCCTGATTTATGATCACATGATGGCTGGTGAATGATCATGTGGGCTTCCAGCCACAGCTATCCAATAAGCTTTAGTAATTGGACCTGTATAGCACAATTCAGAAAGTAATCATGCTTGTATTAATTTCAAATCATTGTAAGTTGCTTTCCAGACTTGGCTGATTTGGAAATTATTTGCCCAATTTAACTCTGAAATCCAAATAAAATCCAGCTCATTTTCCCTAGATTTGCTTTTGTTTAATCTTAATAGAGGACCTTTCTGTAAACCACTTTGTTACATAGGCTTCCTCATTAAAGTTTATATATTATAAAGTACTTTAAATGTACTCATTTTGTTTTTTGAATTAAAAATATCAAATAGGTGGAGAACAGAAACCTCTAAAATTGTGCTGTGCTAAATCACTAGGCAACACTGAAGGACCTTGAGGCGAATGTTCAAAAAGAGTAATGTGGGTGATCAGCTTCTAATTGCTGTCAAACTCAATAAAATCTCAGAAATCTCTCGGCTTGTTGCCCTGGGCGTCGATGTCAATTCAAGAATAGATAAGGTAGGTAGATGCCAAGTCTGTGTTTGAGCTTAGTGGGACATCAGGCTGGTGCTTATCTGTCTGGTTTCTGTAGTATACTAGCATACACTGTAGTTTGATTAGGCACATCAGGGTTTTCATTAACGTTTTCAGCAGGAAGGTAACTGGTTTTCACAGGTGGGCAAAACTTTTTGAACTGAACCTTCTTAAAAAAAACTTTCCTCTAGATGGTCAAACCAGGTGGGCAAAATCATCCTCACAGCCAGTCAATTTGCCCAGTACCCAGGCCCTCCCTGTTTGGGGTGCTAACTACTCCATAGCAGGGTTACCTGCAGCATTGAGTTTGTTGGTGCCCATTTATACACGTGGGTTGAGAGAGGGTGGTGAGAGTAGTGTCTTGCTCAAGAAAACAACACAATGACCCTGGCTATGGCTCGAGCCTTGACTGCTTAATCCAACGGCTATCATACCAAACGTTGGACGACTGTGCCTCCTACAAGAATAGTTGAGGTGACATTGATTTCTTAGTTTTGTTCCCTGTTGTTAATCTATAGCGATGGGTTATCCATGAACATGTACCTTACAGAGGGTGGTAAGGGGGATAAACTGGTTTCACGCATTGTTTCTTTTCTTTCACACATTTATGGTGATGCATCAAATATAGGCATCTATTCCTTTTATAATTTGGGGGGTGGGTCAAGGAGGCATGGTGGGCTAAAGGCTAAGCATGTTGAATTCCGGATTATGCAGTGTGAGTTAGATTATTGGCAGCGAGGGCTGTTATGATGTGTTCTTTGGCAAAAAACCCTCACAGTACTCTCTCCACCCAGGAGTATAAATGGTTGATGGCTGAACTGTAAGGGCAACCTGGCACCATTGTGGTGAGGTTGCCTGCAGGGGGCTAGCACCCCATCAATAGAGAAAACTCACACACGCCATAAGACCTGCTGATTTTCCGGTCCATCTTAATTGGAACAGATTAACTTTTCATGGGACACACTTGCCAGTAATTATGGTACCAAATCGTGATTTTCAATAAGGTACAGTGTTCCTCATTGCCAGGGCCCCTCCTTGGTTGGGTCTCTCTTCTGTCTGAATTTTACAGTACTTTGGATCATGCAGTGTTATCAATTGACTGATATCATTTTCATTTTTTTTTTTTCAGAATGGCAAAACAGCTCTCCACTTTGCAGCTCACAAAGGTCAGTTATTAGCTGTGAGAGCTCTGATAGAAGCAGGAGCTGACTTGGACATCACAGATGAGGTATGCGGCACCTTTAAATGATTCAATCTGAACTTTGCTCTGCAGTCATGTGATTACATCAGATTGACTTCTTCAAACAGATAAAATTCTCTTGATTGCTTAGAGTATCAAGAAACCACTGAACTCGCTCAGAGAGAATAAAAAATGCCTCACAGTACAGAATAAAAAATTAACAACCTGATACAATATAATTATAGCAAGAAAAGTTATGGCATTGGCCCCAGGTAAGGGTGTTGTTCAGGAGCAAAAGGACATGTACAAACACCTCAGTGATAAATAATTTTGATTGAAGCACTGTGTAGTAGTTTGAAATAACATTTGAAATAAATGTTCTTTGTGGCAGAATGGAGTGACAGCTCTTCATCGTGCTATAATTCATGGCCATGCAGGCATTGTTCACACTTTATTAGAGGCTGGCTGCTCTGTTGATGAGACAGATGAGGTAAATACATTTATGTAGTCAGTAGTTTTTATCCCCGAGCGAAAATCTTTCGAGGCTCTTCCAGGATCCTTGACCTCAAAGATTTATGTGTTAGGTTTTTCACCTGACAAGTGGCAAAGTCACATCTAGAACCATTTCGCTCCATATCACTGCTGAACATTGATCAAGTTACTTGTGGTTCATCTCTATGGGTCATCACGACATGGTATCCTGTTAAGTGGTATTGGTTGACATCATAGGCATGGAATGCATGCAAAGGGCTAGTTTGCTGCCCACATTGGGGGAGCTATGCATAGGCACTATTACCACTGGATCATCATTGTGATAAGTCTAGCATAAATAATGAGGGAACATTTTTGAACCAAACAAATAGGAACAAAAAACTGAGCAAAATATACGAGGAATTAGGCAATCAAGTGTAATTCCAATTTTGGTTCAAAATTGTTTACATTTATGAAAGTTACGTAGTCCTACATTCTTGTTTTGATGTCACAGCCTGACTAGTCTCAGGTCTTAACACTGTGTGGTTTCTGACCCAACCAGAGGTGAAATTTTACGTTTTCAGATGGCTAAAAGTAAAACGCAGTAAAGAAAAAAAACAATATCCATTTCTTTTTGTAATTTCCATATGATGATCTCATGTAGATTCGATCAAGCAAATAAGATAATTTCTCTCATATGCATTTAAACTCTTCTAGGTAATTAAATTTGTGATATAGAATGTGACTGGAGAACATCTTAGGAGTTCTCTTATCTAATCAGCTGGTTTAAAGTGTCCCTACGATCAAATTCTCGCATCCATTTTTTTTACATTTTTGTACACAATAAAATTATTGTGTATGAAAATGTCAAAAAAAATGGATGTCAAGAATTTGATCATTGGGGCACTTTAATACACATGTATGCTTTTAAAGTTTGTTTCCAAACAGATATCCATATACTCCCACTAAGGACACATCTTGATCTCCCTTCCCCCACAGCTCTGAAAATTCCACTTTAGCTCCATACTTTCCTTTAAAAATTTTGGCTTTTGCCAAGATCCCCTACTCTCCTTGGTGGTATGGTCCAATCATGACTTTGTAAGGTATGGGTATGGAAAGGAAAAGTTATTATACAATGATTCTTTGGTTTTGCAAATTGATGGATTGATTATTCTTTAGAATGGGAACACAGCTCTGCATGAGGCTGCCTGGAATGGTTACAGTAAATGTGTTGAGCTCCTTGTGGCAGCAAAATGTAATGTAAATGTTCATAATAGGGTAAGTGAGGAATTTTCAAATTAATGTTGATATTATGAAGAAAATAGCTATGTGATATTTTGAAAACTGAAACAATTTCTGTGTTTCTATTTACTGAGCTCTGTACCAGCTTGGAACATAATGCCCCTGAGAAGTTTGCATCCTTAACAATAATTATTACTTGGTCGTCGTTGCTTAAGGGAAGGCACGGTGGCCTCATAGCTAGTGCACTTGACCCTGGATCGAGCGGTCTGGGTTGGAGTCCTGGCTGGGGAAATTGTGTTGTGTTTTTGGGCAAGACATTTTACTTTCACTGTGCCTCTCTCCACCTAGGTGTATAAATGGGTACTGGCGAATTTAATGCGGGGTAACCATGCGATGGACTAGCATCCCATCCTGGAGGAGTAGAAATACTCCTACTCACTTTATGCTACAGCAACCAGGATAAACGCCAGCCTGATGGGCCACTTGGCTTGTTTACGTTTACCATCTTTGCTAAGCAATAAGTTGATTATTTTCCTCTCTGTTTCAGACTGGGTACACAAGCCTTCATCTTGCTACACAAAACTGTCACTGTACAACATTGCAAGTTTTGTTAGATGGAGGATCTAATCCATTAGTAAAAAATAATGTAAGTATTTTCCTTATGTTATGAAACAAACAATTACCATTTATAACACAGCCAGTTGGAGAGGTGGAGTGCACTTGAAAATCTAGGGAGAGTTTCTCTCAGTTAGGCTGAGAGCAGTTCTTATGCTCCTCTCATTCTCTTGATAGACCTACGTGCTTAGCATGAACCAATTCTTAAATATGACAAGACAATGCAAGATCATGCAAAATTGAGTATCTTTGCTTTAAGAAGACAAAATCTAGAGACCGTTGATTCATACGATTAAGACCATAACTTTTCTCAACAGTATGGTGACACCCCCCTGCACATCGCAGTACGCTATGGTCACACTGAAGTTTGTAACATGCTTATGGAAACAAAGATCAACATTTCTGAGCAAAATAATGTAAGTTAAAAATACTTGACAGATTATATCTGGCATCATTCTTTCAATGCTGTCTTCGAAAACTTGGTGAATAGTGACTATGCAGTTTTCATCAAAGATGTTACTTATTGACAATGGTTGTTTTTCCTTCAGGATGGCAACACCCCCCTGCACATCGCTGCCAGTATGGGACATGAAAAACTCACTGAGATGTTACTAAAGGCAGGATGTATCGCTACTGTGAAAAATAATGTAAGCAGTTTCCTTGTTATTGGACTGAGTCTTATGAGTGTGTAATGGAAATTTATTTGGGACTAGGCCATTTCTGAATTTTCTTTTACCTCTTTCTCAAAGCGAGTCTTGGTGCCCATCCTTTCAAATTAAACTCATTTTCATATGAATGGTTGTGCATCAGGCCTCGCTTTGATGGAGAGGCTTGGGGCAACTCGGAAATGGGCCATTCCGTTGAAGTTTCTTGTCATTTTTATTGAGGAAATTATTTTCACAAGCCTCCATGCTTGAAAAGTGATAGTGCAACCAAAAAATTGACTGACAAAGACTTCAACTGTCTTTAAAATGAATAGATAATTCATTTCCTCAAATGCCTGTAAGTTCCAACATATTGGTTAAAACGGCCTAGCTTGATTGATAGTCGGTCCACTGATGAATGACAGCATATTAAAAATAAGAGTTTCCGTCTTTCAGCACTTTAAATATTCGGATTCTTTGGTAATTAAATTGTTACATGTTAGTTGTCTCTTACTTTCTCCGTTTGACAGAAAATTACCTACAAGAAATGTTTCTCGGTAAATCCGCATCCCTTGTGCTTACAAAAGGGCTCGTAATTAAAATGACAATTTACACAGTGACTCTTTCGTATCTGAAATCTTCTGTTCTTACTCAAGTTTAACCGGTTAAAACCGGTTTAATGTACTTCACTTGCGGGTATCGCGTGTTACATGCTTTTCAGTGAACGGGTTTCGCGCACCACGAGGTCAAGATGGCGGCACAGCAAAAACTAATCCTTATTATCCTCTCATATTTTCCACTTCATATATTTAGTTCATATCGCTTAACATTCATTTTGTTTTGTCGCTTGCTTCCAAGGTGGGTGATACTGCTAGAGAGTTGGCTGTTCGAAATGGGTTTAAAAAAATTGCCAAGTTATTAGCCCCATCCAAAGGTGACACAATCAAGGTAAGCACGTCTTTGACATTGAAAAAAATCCCTATGATATTGGATTTCCAGCTCTCTGTGTTGAAAGAATTTTTGCGTGCGAAGAGCGCCAAACTCAGTTAATGAATGAATGTCAGCAATTGCGTATTTGTTACGAGGGAGTTTAAAGCTAGGTCAACGAGAATATTTCGTTGCCGTCTTCTAATAACATGTTAAAGAGTTTGCGCACCGTGCACTCGTTTATCGAATGTTTATTTATAATGGTCAATGGTAGCAAGATTTCAATTCATCGTTTCATTGCGACAACGCTGTTTCGTATGGACAAACTGACAAAGAATGACCGCACTCATCGGGCAATATCAACGAATGACCGTTAAATTACAAGAACTGGCAATTAAAAGCTAAGGTTGCTATGTGATATAGCAACAGTTGGCAGGTAAAAAAAAAAAAAAAAAAAAATCAGTAGCTATAAGATGCAAAAACAGTTGCGCCAGTTCTTGTAATTTAATGGTCATTCGTTGATATTGCCTGATGAGTGTGGTCATCCTTTGACCATACGAAACAGCGTTGTCGCAATAAAACGATGAATTGAAATCTTGCTACCATTGACCATTATAATTACTGCTCCTCTCAGGGTTGAGCGCTTTCAAAGATTTATTCTATTCAAGTTCAAGAAATGTTTATTTCCTGACTTTTTTCATCTCGGCTCATGATCTCCATAAGACGCAAAATAGGGTCATTTATAAACGGTATTACTTTCCGGAAAATGGCTAAAGTTCCGGCTAAAGAGAGCATTTATATACAACATGTTGAGTGAATAGCTAAAACGATCAGAGATTATTTGCAATCAATGTGACGGATGAAAATATTTCTTCTAGCTCAGGCATTTTTGTCCATTCAAGTTCATCCCTACATTAAATGCATGTTTCTTTTTTAAATTTAATCTTTCTCAGATGTTCAGTCGAAAAGAGAGAGGAAGGCCTCACAGTGCTGATGTATCGTGTTTGTTTAGTGGAACTACAGACTCTACCCTCACCACTACTGCTACTCATCTGTGGGTACCAAAACCTGTGTCGCTCGACCCAGACTCCAAGGTGAGTTCTCTACCAAATGCTACCTACACTCTTTTTTTATCACGAAGTGCCTGGTGAACTCGCATTACTCTCTCCTAGAAAAGCAAACTAGGAATCAAGTTGGTGGTGGATGGTAATCACCGAGACCGTCATATCTTTGCCATTTTACTACACCTAGCACAGTGTTGTTGCACAGTTTACAAGCAACACGGTTGGCAATATGCAAAAGAAAACTTTTCAACTTGCAATGCAGTATTGTTGCACGAGAAGCACCAGGCATATGTTGGTAGTGCTACTAGGCCTGCAAAGTCTTGCCCTGTTCGGGGGAATTATTCCCTCTGTTAACCAGGTGTATGTTAAGCCAGTTTGTTATTTTTTTTTTTGTTATATGAATTGCACAGTAGTGTTTACAGTGTACGTTTTGTAAGATTTATAAGAAAGTTACTAGAGTTATATGTTTACAGGAGATTGTAGCGAGGGAGCTCATTCGCACCAACTTAAATAACTTTTCATTTTCGCCTGGTTTAGAGACAAGGACACAAACGAGACTTTGTATGGAGTAGGAGAAGGAAAGAAGAACGCAAACCTAAAGTGCTGACCATTAAATATGACGAGATGTGCTCAATAGAGCGAGATTACCTCAAGAAACGAAACGCGTCGATGAGAAAATCACATAAGAGCCAATCAAAAAGCTCCATAAAATCGCAGGTATGACACTTGCTATCTGGTCTTTCCAATACTTTGCTTTGTTGCTACTGTTGCTGCATATAAGCCAATCATGCAGTGCTCGAAGTTAAAATGTTGTCAAGCGTCGAGAAACGTGTAATAGGTGCTAAGGGCGGGAAAACACGAAGCGCGGGAAAGGTCGCGTAACTCAAATTACAAATATTTCCTTTCTTGTTCGTGATTGGCCGGCAATAGAACATCTTCGCTCTGATTGGTCATGAATTCTGCAAACTCTTGTAGGCTTGCGCTAAAATTATGCCCAGGGAAAAACTTAAACTGCTTAAGGAAAGCTGTTAACATTGTAGTAACTGATAGCTTGGGCAAAACATGATATCGAAGCCTTTACTACATTGATATTTTAGAGGAGAGCAACTTTTGTCTGTAAAGATGAGTTTTCTCAATGTTTTCCTTACGTATTTAGGAAGAAAGATTCCGCTCTGACCCAGTCCTTCATCAGAAGACAAAGAAATCGCATTCACCTGAAAAGGTCGACAGAAAAGCGAAAAGGTAAGGGGAGAAAGATATACAGACCTCAAAACCCCCAGTGGAGCCCATGTAAGTTACGTTCTAAAGTTCTTGATCTCTCTGCGAGAACCTTAGAGTAATTTTCAAAAGTGTCGTAAAATCAAAACCAAAGTTATTACTCTGGCCAGTCACAAAGGACAGAGACAATCCATTAAACCAATCAAAACTCAAAGCACTCAAATGAAAACCGCTCTATCAGTGCTACTTTTTGTTGATTTGTAAACCATCTCAGCCAATCAAAGGACAAACAGCGGCACGACATCTTTTTTTGTTGGTTTTCCGCACTTCTTAGCCTATCAAAAGCCAACAAGGGCAGGTGCAATGGGCAGGCGACTTTCTGTTGGTTTCCGAAACTTCTCGGCCAATCAAAGAACCAATAACGCACGTGTAATAATCAACTAGATCATTCTCGTTCCCAGATCTTTGTCGTGCCCAAAAGGGAATGCTTGATTTCTCCAGTGAAGAGACTTGTTTCATGACGATCTAAATAAATGCTCGAAGAATAGACTATTTTTCGCCGTGGAAAATCATTTTAAGAATGTGTTCACGTGGATTATTTTAACAAGATGACCAGCGTACTCAACGTAAGAACAACCAACAGGAAATTAAAGGTGAACCGCAAGTTTGGAAAACAGTTGTCTAGTCGTGAAAGATGAATCTTGAAAGAAGCCGCAATTTGCCAGAGGGGTCGGCTTTCAGCTTATTTAAGTATGATCACAAGTTTTTGCGATACGAAAAGTAATGTGTTCATTAGAAGGCGCTAAAGAAAAAAAATGGTACCATCAACGAAAAGAAAGCACCCCTTCATTTCCATCTCAAGGCGTCAATAAATTAAACTGTTTGTTTTGAAAGCTACTGAAAGGATTAATTGTTTGAGCGTTCCTGGCTTCCGTAGGCTACGTTTATGATTTCCGATTGAAAACGATCTTAAATCGTGTCTGAAAGCACACGCCTTTGTTGTTTTCAAATGCAAATTCCATTACGAGTTCCTGTCAATTTAAGAGCTTTTCTCTTGAAAACCTTTAAAAGCCCCTTGGCTGTCTTAATTGTAGGTTCTAACAAGCAGTTGACAACCTTGCGGTTTGTATTGAATTAAATGAATCGAAATAACTCGAAAAAAATGTGCCAACCACTCTTCGTTAATTGTTGGTGTGCAAGTTATGCACTTGAGACCCAGAATAACAAACTGACCTAATCAATTTAACTCTGGGTTAAAAACTTTGACAATGTAAACACGATCCTGCGAATTGCCAGTGTGAGTTAGCAAGGGTTATAGCCATGTTATTAGCTTTCAGTAAGAGCCGAGCGTCACTGCCATTGTAAGTGTGTTTGCTTCGAGCTTTGTGGGTGGTCCCTTGTCCGGGGCATTGTGATTGTGCCCTGAACTGTGAATTGGTCTCATTTGAATTCACACGGCAAACACTTGTACAGAGCGAGCTGTCTCGCCATTTGCTCGCGCGAACGCAATCTTCTCGAGGCGCCACAGATTCTGTTTAATTATACATAGACGACATAATTTCTCTCAAGTGAAAATTTGGTTACGGCATGTCTAGAAGAGGAGCCAGTCCATGGAATTGCACGGTTAGCAGGTGAGAAGAAAACTTGTTCGTCAGAAAACTTCCTTTTAGCATTAACTTTGTCCTCCGAATTTTTTTGATTCGTATTTAATCGATCTTTCGCTCGCAAGCCCGTATTGTTTTTAATAGGTTGTCACATTCCCTTCGATGCTTTTATTTCGTTGTTTGTTTGGTGATGTTATAAACATTTTAGGGGGGTCTTTCAGGCACAGTTCATCCTCTTTTGTGGCATAACTCGTGTTTTGATGGAAAACTTTACTCGGTCTTTATCTTCGCTAATTTAATACTATTACGTATATACCAGGCTATTTTCGTTTTTCTCAGTCTTCAGTATCGACTGTTCGTTATTTTTGATAGGCTGGACCGTTAGTAAACATATAAGCATGCCAAACTGATTTGAAGACTAACTGAGTTACTATTCTATGGGACAAGTTATTGAATTTGTTCACTCTCAAATCGACTGCTTACTATCTAAACATAGCATAATTACGCACGGCACGACAGAATTTCACAGTATTTTGCGTTCACGAGAGCGACAAACAGGCGATGGACATGTTTATTTTGAAAAAAAAAAACAAGAATAAAACATTTCAAGAGGTTTTCTTTTCTTCTGTAGATTGGCGGGATGGTTTAGGTACTTAATTACAAAATGAATTAGGAGAGGACGACAGGAACTTTGCGAGACTCTGCGAGATAATTTACATCAGAAATTAAGTCACGTTTTCGTGCTTTATGAAAATGTTAATTTTATCTGATCTTTTCAATTCATGCTTGAAACAGTTCGTATTCCTATAAATGGGTTCAAGTTAAGTCACGGCAGTTCTACTCGTGGTGACTTTGTTATTGTGTCTTTGCCGAAGGTTAAATTTGACATTGCGGTTTTTGATGCGAAAAATAGTACCGTTTAAAAAATATTTTGAGTGTTCAAGGCGTTTAGCAAGCAATGTGAAATATACTAGCCCCAGGCAAAATTTCGTCAGGCTTTGAAATTATTGTGGCCGATTCATTGAATTTAGAACTGCTTTCAACTGGTGTTATTCCACAAGAACTGGGAAGACCTTTCAGCTGCTCTGATATGTGCAAACGGCAACAGAAAGTTTCTAAATATTTGGTGAACTCTCTACTGCCTCGTAAAGCAGCGACGCCGAACACACTGAAGGTACCTCTATCTCGATGGGTGTTCTGATTAAATTCTTTTAAATAAACTAATTTAATAACACAAAGAAACGAATATTATTCAATACATCAGAAGATTATTTCTTTCTTTGTTCAGAAAATGTCGAATTTTTCTGATGTAGTATGATCTCAAGTTGCTTAATTCCCGGAATCTCCATATTCGTAATGAAACGAACAGCGAATCATACGTTTGCAATTAATATAATTTCTTTTATCTTTGCAACGACAATATTAAAATGACTTTGAAAATGATTAATAACTGATTTTGACGATAGTATAGCAAATATATGCTAATAAATATTTATCTTTCTTTTGTCATTTTTATTGTGAAGTATCAGCTTCATCTATAAAAGTTATTTCATAAACGAAAAGTATTTCACGGTACGAAAAGTATACTTTGGAAATTGAAACTCTCAAGCCTCGCGTTGAGAAATTGTATGTGTGGTTGTTTGTTTTGTGACTGGTTGGAAATTTTCCGGAAGCCAAGAGGACGATAACAAAATAATAATCAAATCTATATAGCCTGTGGTAAAGTTAGAATGCGTTCTTCCGAGCCCAGCGATGAAACATTGTTAGTCATGTAAAATGTTCGACGAAAATGTTCGATCTGGATCAAACCAGTTTCGTGTAATGTTTTGCTTGATTGTTTTGCCCGGCGGATTTAATTCCCCTCTTGTGCTCCAGTGTTAAGTATTATTTTCCTTGAGGTTAACAGGGGCGTTTAAAACCAATTCAGTACACAATCTGTTTCTCTTATGTCTCACAAAAATTGATATTTTGGTTTTAATTTCAAACTAGTTTCAGTTCAGATGTTTTAAAGACTTTGAAAAGCTATCCAAAGGCAACTGATCTTATAAAGGACAAAATCATTTTTCCCCCTTTATTTAATAGTTTGTCGTTTTGGTTCATTTAACTTCTTTTATTCACATTACCAATTTGACTGATAAGTGTATTATTTTTAAAACTTTCCCTAAAGGTTAATGCCCATTTGTCGTAGTCATTGGCAACACTACTAGCATTCGAGTGGAAAATATTTGAAGCGGTTTGGATGTTACAACGTCTTCCTTGGAGGAGGGAGTTATCGTTGTGAAGATGTAACATCACATTGTTTTGCATGTAAATTGTCCTTGAATTATCTTATCCGTTCAAATTTTATGCAAACGTTATTCCTTGTTCGCTATTATTTGTACTTTTCAATACATAAACGTGATGTTTACATTGTGAAATACTAAACAAATAGACCTTTTTAGCTTGGGCGGTGTGTTTTCACATTACGGACCACCCCTTACACGATCGACGGTTTAATGTTTCCTTTGCTTATGCTCGCTCATAGAAATACAATGAAAACCCGCGTATAAGAACTTAGGTTTTTTTTAAAGTTAGCCTCCATAGGTTCTTATATAAATGATGTTTACTGTGAAATTAGGCTACCTAGGTTCTTAATCAGGTTCTCAAGTTTTGTTTAAAAAAACACCCAACTATTACTCATGGGTGTGGCTTTTATATTGAATCATTCACAGTACATTGTAGTGATCGTATAACACTGCCAGCGTTCTGGCTGGTTTTTGTTACCTTTTTTGTATCGCATGTGATGTACTGAAATATATTTGAAACTAGTCTATATTTTGAAAATAAGAACCTGTATTGAGATTTTAGCCGAGAATGGTTCTTATGTGAAGGGTGCTTAGCTGGGAAAGTTTTGCCCAAATTTTAGGTCCTTATAAGCGGGTTTACTGTACTTGAAGCCTGTTGTTTTTATTGTAACGCTGTTCTTATTTTACCTTAGCGCTCAAAGCAGAGATGATCTGGAGGCCAGTCTTTCCCACAAGAAAAGCAAAAAAGACAAAGGTTTTTTCTCGTTGTTCAGAAGTGCCAGTGACACAGACTTGAACATCGACGACAAGAAAAACGGCGTATGTGGCAAAAAACACAAAGACAAATACCCTCCTTACGGAGAGCTGATGGGGAATGGAGTTCACCGTGTAGGCAAAGAGGTGAAAGAAAAAGGAGACACGGAGGAAACCAAGGAAAGAAAAGAGAAAAGGAGAAGTGAAAAGAGCGAGGAAAAGACAGAGAAGAAAGAAAGGACAGGTAAGAAAAATCGCGAGGACGACAAGGAAAAAATAGAAAAGAAGGAAAAGCGGAAAGAGAAGGAAAAAGAAAAGAAACTTTCACGTCGTGATGAGAACGATGGAAGTGAGTCGGATTGTACTATTTGCCAGGAAAAGCGGAGAAAGTCGCGAGAGAAATCTCACAGTAAGGAATCTAGACACAGAGAACAACGATCTAAATCCGAACACAGACGGACGAAAGATCATAAAGAAACGGAATATGACAAGACGCCTTTGGATAGGAAGGACGAAGAGAAGGAACATAAGAAAAAGAAGCACCATAAGGATAAAGAGCGAGACAAGGAACATAGAGATAAAGACGGGGAGAGGGATCACAGAGATAAGGACAGGGATAAGGACAGATCCAGGAGAGACAAGAATCATAGAAGGAAAACCGAGGAACAAGAGGTGAGTAAACAGGTCAAACAGGTTATTCCTGTTAATGTTAAACAGCCGCTGCACTGAATTGATAAAACAGAGTCAATAGGTTTGACTCCCTGAGCCCAGTTAGGTGCTGATACACCACCACGCATGCGAAATACTAGAAAAGCAACATAAAACAAACCATTTACCATACAAAGTTATGAATGAACCAGATGCTAAACGCGCTGTTATTGGTTTAAAACCCGCTTTGTGTTCTAATCAGTAAAAAAGTGTTGAATTTTAACGAACATCTCGTACTAGCTTCGTACTAGTTCCCCGATAACACGGCTTCTCTGTGATCTAACAGATAACTTAGCACCCCAGCTTATCGGCCATTTCTAAGTGCTTTTGCCTCAGTTTCAACATAAGACCACCGTCAAATCATGTTCACTTTCGCTCAATTCAAACCCGTTTTGTTGTGTTGTATTAGGACCTTTTTCTGGAAGAGCCAAAAGATGATGTGACGTAAAGATTTATAACTAGTTACTAATTTTCACTTGCTAGGAGGACTTTGGGCCCACGCCGTGTAACCAAACTCATTGCACCACGTGCCAGGCTCAACTCAGCCGCCTGGAGGCCTGGCAAGAAAGGTGTACTTCTGAAATCGATTCCGCGCGTCGAAGACTCGAACACAGACTGCAGCGGCTAGAAAAGAAGCTCGAGGAACAGCTGTGGGAAGAAAGACAATTAAAAGAAAAGAAAGAAAGTCGGGATAAAGAGCTCGATCGTGCGGCTGGCCCCGTCAAGGAACAAAGTGGCGCAGTTAGCAAGAACGTTAAAAATAGCAGCGGTAACGTTAAGGAGGAAATCCGCGGGTTAATCAAAGGAGGATTGAGTAAGCTAGAGTTAAAACTCGGACAAATTTCAGCGGGTTATAACATTCCTTTTATGGATTACCAAGAAAGGTGTAATCCTGAGCTAGGGAAGAACTGTTCCGCCGGGCGAGGGAGCCGGCATGTGAGGAGTAGGAGCTCCCCTCACCTGGGGAGGGCCCCTTGTGAAGACTGCATCCACGTCATGGAGCACAGAGTCGGAGGAGTGTCCCGTAAGTATTTTGTGATGTAGAGTGCAATGATGTGAGGGTGTTTTTTCGATCATCTCGCGCTGCAGAAAAAAACCCTCATTTGCCTGGTAATCCTTCAGTATGTGCAATTTACATTCCCTTCTTCAAATGTATTTCAAGTGTCAATTTTCTGATACAGTTTTATAGTAAAACGCTTCAAAGAACAGATGTTTAAATAACAAATCTCAGATTCTCCTTCGCCCCTACCCCATTGGGAGTGATGCACAACGCAAAATAAAAAAGTATGTTTGAAACTAGTTAGCACGTGATTGCTTTCCTTGTTTTCATTGGTCACTTTGGTTCAAATTTTGTTCACTTATCGTGAGAGCCTGGTGATTGTTTCAGCCTCTGGACCTTTGACTCGACTTCCTGCGGAGTCAACTCAAAAAAATGGAGAGGATAGTTGAGGGATTGGACTTAGTGGATACAAGATTGGAAAGACGAACGTTTTCATGGACTTCTAGTCGCCTTCTTTTTCTTAGATTCTACGCGCAAGAAGAAATCATTAAAATATGCAAGGTTTCTTCTCGGGCCATACAATAGAGACTACTCGAAAACAAGTAGATATGCTCTCATTGTTTTCAGATGATGCCAGTTAACTTGAAATTGTCCTTACATTTGCAGCTCACCTCGCTTCGCTTACAACGAGTGGAAGCTCTTCAAGAGCAACTTCCGGCATTCGCGTGAGTGACTCGGGGTCTTTGGACACTGTAATCGAGGCTCGTCCTGTTAACGACAAAGGTCTTCGTGCTTCCGGTACAATCATTGAAGCTCGCCCGATTGACGACGAGGGATTGGATACAGTGATTGAAGCTCAACCAGTTATAGAGGATGAAAATGATGTTAAAATTAATGACACATATGCTGCCACACAGGTACACGTTTTGACCGAGTTTAGGGCATTTGAATTGAAAAGAAATGGCTTCGTTACGTCTTTCACTGTCTGCACGTTGGCATAGTAAGGGATTTAGGGATGGACCATAACAAAAAAGTGGAAGGGGAGGGTTGGGAGAGCGCCAGAAACGCGTAAACGCATGGTAAGGCATTTGCATGGCACTGGAGCCGAGCTAAATTCGACTTTGTGACTTCAGAAAGTTGCCAGCGCTTTCAAACTTTCTCCACTTTGGAGACCATTTTGGACTCTTGGGTCGGCGGCTAGACGGCTGATCAAACTACATTTTCAAATTTACTGTAGCTCACCTGTTTGCAAATTTACTGTTTAGTGCAGACGTGGCCTCAATGTCCATATTATGACATTAACACCTTTAGATTGCCAAAGAGGGCAGATGGTGTTAAAATGACCTTCTAAATAAATCCCACTTCTCCAGTCGTTGAAATAGGTCAGTTTTTTTTTCCGTTTTAATGATTATCAAATGTCATCTTCCCAGGTTCAACACCAGCGACAAGTCCAAGAGGTGGAGAAGTGGTGGCGAGCCAAGGCAGAAGAGGAGCAGCGAGTGTTGTACGCCAGGATCTGTGAACTGGAACAAATGCTGCTCATGTCTCGTGCCGGTGGAGACTGCTTTGTATGACGCGCGTGGCTTATAAGCGCGGCGCCGGGCCGTCTGGCGGGAAAACGCCAGCGCCAATACCTTTTCCAGCCGGGAACTTTGATTCGTGAGGTTGCTAAGCAACATGGTGTTTCTGATGGCGTCGTACTGGCGTTCAACAAAATGAGTTTTGATTGGATGATAATCAACGTGGACCATTGGATTGTCTCTACGAAGATTTACATCCGAATCGTTTGGCGGGAATTATTTAAGCTCATTTCATTCTCTGAAGCTAGACCTCGAGGCCAAAGTTACGTTTTGTCGGGGAACTGTTGCTTCGTGCTCGCCGACAAGAAAGAAGAGTTACAAATTATTTTTTCCCATATTTTATAGTATTTGATAGTATTGTTAATGTGATTTGGAAAACAGTTGCCACATTTAGAAGTGTGGGGAAAACTTTATACAAATTCTAGCATTTGTGAAAAAATGGCAATTGATATCGACATAGTCAAGATGTAAAAATTCAACTATTTTGTTGGCGGAGCAACATAAACTTTGATTTATTATCGACATATTGAAAAACGTCGAACAATAACTAGTTTTGTGAAAAAATTCACAGAACGTTAAATCTCTAAGAGTATATTTAATATACTACTTTATATATATTTTTATCTTAATGTATATTAGAAATATAGAAAATATAAAAGTGGTTTTTGTATGATAAATAGTTTCCACTGAAGAGGTGTTTCCGATAACTATGGAAAAGAGAGTGCAGTGTTTCTATTTGTTTTATCTGAGATCATAACAACGCTGTTGCAGAGACCTTTGCGATGACATCAGAAATTCAGCTATAACACTATGAAAGTTCGGCCATCGCTAACAAGGAGTCGAAAATTGTTTTTCTTTCCTCACCCAGGACCTGTACTGCTTTCTTTTATGACTAATTGACATACGTAGTTCTGACAAGTTGATGGCTCTCACTTGCATTAATTGCTAATAAGCGCAAGTATATCCCTTCAGGACAACTCGGCTGTGCTGTAGGGGGTAAATGAATGAGGCATTGCTAAAGTAAACCCGGAACACGACCATTGACCAGTAGAGCAAGTTCAAATAAACCTCAAAATTAAGCGCGGCAACGTCGTAAAGATAGGGTTTAACGAGCAGTACATGGGTAAACTGGATCGAGAGGTCTGGGTTCAAACCTTGGTCATTGTCACTGTTGTGTCACTCTCAATGCATCTCCCTGCTAAGGAGCAAGTACCGTATTACAACACCAGAAAACCACGCATAGGTAACTTGACTGAGTGATCTGGTGTCAGCAAATTTATTCTGGCTGAGTACTGAATGAGCCACTAAGCTCCTGCTCGTTAAATTATCGGATGCGTTAATGTCTTGATCGATTTCTTTGCAGTCCTCTGCCCGATGACCAAGCCCAGGGTCTCTGAGAATGAAAATGCGTTACATTCTCGCGTTTTCGGCTTGGCTTGGATTGTTTCGACTTTTACCAAATACTGGGGTTAAAACAATCAGAGTACATTCACGAGACTCTTCTAGAATTTATTACAATCGAATTAAATTCCCGGTGACAGGGCTCTGAGATTGCGCCCTGAACTAAAATGGTGTAAGCTTTACGAGGTGCTTATTGATTACAGCGAGAGATCGGCATTCTACTGGCCTAAACTGTCTTGTTTGGCCAACGAAAATTGATTAGTTTATCGCGCTCCTTGACCGGCAACCACAAACATTTTCGGAATGCGTTATGTTAAGTTTTTCTTTTTTCGCCGACGAAGAGGAGTTTCAAGACTCAAAACTATAGCGGTCGCATTAGCTAGCAACGAATTCGTATTGTACATTCATCTTTTAAAATTTCACACCCAGCTGAACATCATTTCACCCAGTGACCAGTCCTTCCCATCCATATATAGGCAGTTTAACTGCATATTCGCTATAAATACATGTCACGAAGTCAGAGTCAATGTGATGACGTCACAGGTTTCTAAGTACGTCAGAGTTTTTTGATGACCATCGCTGATGCGCCACCACCGCCATTACAGATGCTTGCTAGACCCAGGGCTCCCTCGGGCAGGGTATGCGTCATGTGGGCTATAAGTCGAGAACCGGACATTCTGTAAAATAAAAGAAGCCTTCATTATTTGATATCGGTGAACGTGGTAGAAGATTTTTGGATAACACTGGACAGAAGTGAGATGAGAACAAGACGCGCGCGATGAAATGCCTATGAGCAAACTTACCTTTGAGTCACGCGCGCGGGCGAAGCGATATGGCAGGGAAGAGTCTGGTGTATAGGTGCTAAGTATGTTGAAAGTGGCGAGTGTGCTCAAACGCAGGCTATGGTTTCCCGCCGGTGTCCCTTTTTTCTGGTACGTCAAGCTTGTTCCACATAACACATAACATTCCACACAACTCACCCAATAGGATGGCCTACTGAAACGGCGCCTCCATGGATGTTCACTTTGTCTGGGTCTAACTCCATCAGCTGTAGAGAGAAGAGACAAGATTCTTTTAACAATAACTGTCTAATTTCTCGCGTGCTGATTGGCTCATTTTTATCATCAATAAGAGTACAGACGGATAAAATTCTAATTTATGCAAGCTTTCAAGTTCAACTTTCAGCTGTCAAACTGTCAACTTTTTAACCAATGAGATTTTATGCACTTTTTTAAGCAGCCAATCAAAAAGCGAGAAAAGCTATTGACACTGTTCGCGTCATTTTGAATAAAATTCACTTATCTTTGTTTACGGCATCTTTTCCCTTCATATTTATTCCCAGCATTTGATCATTTTGGGGTCTTGTTATTGTAAAAAACAGACGTCAGTTTTTTATGCGTCTGGCCTCTTATTGATGATAAATTGCGTCATAACATTGTCAAAGTTTACTGCGGAACCACGAGCCGCAGGCGAGTGGTTCCACAGCCACTTTGACAATGTTATGACGCAATTTATCATCAATACATCAATATCATCGGTTTAAAATAAGCATACAAGATGGGTCTTCGCACAGTTCAGTCTACGTAAACATGCATATAACGTATCATTTTATTACTTTCTTTAACGAACCGCTAGCTCGAGACGTCAGCTGTTTAGAAAATTGACTCATCAACTACAAGGTATATGAGAAGCTTTATCTTCCGTACAAGTCTTGAGATGGAAGCGTATAAATTTGCGAGTTCTCCAAGGAGAACCAAACACTTCCAAAATATTAAAGTTATTCTCCAAACTAATACCATACATTTCCTTGTTGCCTAGTCCTGAGTATTTCATTCTATATCAAGACCATATGTCCTAGTTGATAATTTCCTCATTCTCATTACCTGTTCGCTCAACAAGGTATGTAAAAATGTAAGGAGAATTTTATATACCAATTACTCCGAGGAGTCAAAAGTTTAACAAAGGGTTAACAAACTCCCGGGATAGTCAAGAAGGTGAAACAAACCTTGATGTTGGCCAGAACAACAGCGCTGAACGCCTCGTTAATTTCCCACATGTGAATATCCTCCTTTTTCAATCCAGTCTGTTGTAACAACTAAAGGACAAACGAAAACAAGGTAAGAATCTAACCGTTCCGTGCTTTAATTTCTAAAAGCGATAGAAATAAATTATTTAGCAGTTGGGTCTGTTGATAGAGCAGTTTTGAACTGGGTGTCGTAAAACCAAAACCAAAGTAATCGCTATGGCCAATCACAAAGGACCCAAGCAAACCAGTGAACCAATCAAAACTCAAAGCAAATACATATAGCCGATGCAAAGCGCGGGAAAACGTGTGAGAGCGAGCCACGACTGGTTTTACAGTGTGGCAAATGTAATTAGAGTGGGAGGCGCGGTGGCCTCATGGTTAGTGCGCTTGTCTCCGGATCGAGCGGCCTGGGTTCGAGCCCTGGCCAGGGACATTGTGTTGTGTGTTTGGGCAAAACACTTTACACTCACAGTGCCTCTCTCTACCCAGGTGTATAAATGGGTGGTACCTGCTACCGGCGAACTTAATGCCGGGGGTAACCCCGCGATGGACTAGCATCCCATCCAGGGGGGAGTAGAAATATTCCTAGTCGCTTCATGCTGCAGAACCGGAGATAAGCTCCGGCCTGATGGGCAACTTGGCTCGTATGCAGACTCTAAATGTAATTAGTAGAATTCTACTAGTATTCTAAGTACCGGAAATAATAAATGAATATTATAATAATAGATATCCCACAATCATCTGCGCCGTATATATTTGCATGTTTCCCTCCTTTGTGCACATTTCATCCTACGACATTACTTGTTTGTTAGCGAACTCACCCTTCCCCTACCCCCAGGCGACGCGGTGTCAGACCTTCACGCACATGAATATACCGCTGTCCACACTCGTGGACAGCACCCATTTTCACCTCTCCATATCTCATCCTTATATATTCATGTGCATTGTAGGTACATAGAATATATTACTATACTAATGCAAATGCTGTAATCTGATTGGCTGAGCCATTGAACACTATCAGCCATTAGTGTGCAGTGCTGGAGGTCGTCTAGGAAAGGGCGACGTTTTTTTCGTTTTTCCAAAGTTTTGGAGGAAAATTTTGATGCAAATGGACAATAAATTCCTGAGAAGTCTACACGAAGGACATTTACGGTTTCTTGACTTTTAAAAAAGTTGAAATTATTGAAAAAACTGATGCGCGCGCGCACACAACTTAAATGACAATTCAATCCGAGCGGTCTTTTTCAGGCGCAAAGTTTAATAATATCTCAAGAAATAATTGGAAATCGTTATTTGAAGTAAATTTTAGTAAGAATTCTACTAAAACAATTAGATTATGAGCTCGAGATTTCTATGAGGTGATAGTTGATTCGGCCTTCGGCCTCATCGACTCTCACCTCATAGAAATCTCGAGCTCATAATCTAATTGTTAATTAGAACGAAGACGTTGCCTCATCAACCAATCAGCAATCTTGGTGAAGTTCACGTGACTTTTCCCTCGCTTGGCACCGATTGCACATTTACCCGCGTATGGCGCCAGTTTCACGTTTTCCCGCGCTTGGCACCTGTCACTCGTGGAGTTTAAATGAATTACTAGTATAAGTTTTTCGTCCTTGTTAAAGCACAGCATTAACTCTATACATTAATGACTGCGTACCTTAGGCATGGCCGCTGCTGGTGCAATAGGAAAGTCAATTGGTGCAACTGAGGCATCAGCAAATCCTGAAGAAGAAAACAAATTGTTTTATTTGGCATTATTTAGAAAAACGTACTTTGCCTGATAAATAAGAATTTTGGTGGTACAACAGGCTCGATTACCAGCCGCTGTTTCGGCAAATGAGTCCGTGCGACAGAACCCAAGATACAGGCGGAAATCGATTCTAGTGGTACGTCAGAACAATTGATCCTCTCCTCAGAGATTTTCGTAAGCCTTGCCAAACGTAGAAAGGACTACTACTAAGGTAGTGCTTTTGTTTTGCTTGGTGTAGTAACTAAATTTTTGTATTTACCTACTATGGAAGCAAGCGGCTTCACTCCTAACCGGTCAGCAGCCTGTCTGGTCATGAGCACGAGGGAGGCAGCCCCATCATTCAGTGTGCTGGCATTGGCGGCTGTTACTGTTCCTAAAAGGTAAAATTTCCCGTGTCTGGTAACACTCTCAGAACAAAACAAGCTTCATTAGGCGCCCTACTTTAAGGCCGCCGTCTCGCGTTTCAAACGCCGGCTACTTTTGTTAGACAAATCCACAGAAAATGATTCTTCTGTTTCTGTAAGACAATTCGAGCGTAGCCTAAATTTGCACTTAAAATCGTAAGTTCCAAAAACAGTAAGCGAACATGTTGTTATTTCTGAAGGAAACGATAAACTACAGCTATCTAGTGTTATAGAGTTACTCAAAGACAGACATGTGGCATTGTTAAAAGTGCATTGGCCAAAGCTGTCAATGTACACTACAACTTTTGCCGCGATTCTGTTCCAATTCTGTCCGTGTATTTCGTAAATTCCATCGTGCAAGTTCGTCTCTCAAAGGGCACGTCGTGTCGGAACAACTTGACGTAACCAACGAGAAAAATTTTCCTGAAATCAGGAATGTCAAATCGAAAATCCGTGCCGAAAGATTTTCGACACATTCTAGCTATGACCTCAGGAATTATTTTCAGCTTTACAGTCACAGAGTAATAGTAAGACTGACATGTTTGACAAGGTCTGTATACAAAAACAGCATTAGTCGACACGTTTCTGTATGGACTCCTTGTCAGTTTGTATAGCATTCCGCCTATCAGGCGACTTGTGGTAATTTATAAGCCAACTGTACACAAGGAATGGAACAACTATACAAAAGCTTTTATCGACAGTTGTAAAGTTTTCCCTTCTCTAGAGCTAAATTTTTTGTTTTTCGCTACAGACAAAATAAAGTTACATTTTAACAGATCTGATTATACAGTGTAATTCCGATTTTACAGCATTTCTCAACGTAGGAATGGCCTGCAGAACTGGCGGATTAGCGTCGGGACAGAAAGCAAAACGCGATACACGAGCGCGGAGCGATACCAAGGGCGCAAAGAAAGAGTCCAGATTACTTCGACTCGCGCCTCACGCTCTACCCCGCCAATCCGTCTGTTCTACATGCTAACGCAGCAATTGTCTATAATTAGTGAGCAGTGTGAGCAAGATTACAAATCCCAGTGAACTGAAACTCACCATTGTTTTTTTGAAAGGCAGGCTTCAGGGTCGCGAATTTGTCATACGACACTCGCTTGAACTCTTCATCTTCACTGAAGACCACATCAGGTTTACCTAGAAAAGATAAAATAATAAAACTAACATTAATTCCCAAAACGTTTGAAACTTACGGTTTGATAAGAATCATATTCATATGCTGAACTGACATATAAGCGTTGGGAACTGACAATGGAAGTTGGCGAAACGACCGGTTACCATCTAAGCACAGTGGTGCGCAAAATTGATAACTTTGAACAGATAGAACCTGCCGAGAGACCCAAACTTTTTCATTGGTATAAAGTTAAACTGGTCAACACTCTTGGAAAAAACTGTTTGAAAAGATGCTTTTAAGGTGGCTCAAACAGTTTCCAGCACTTTCCAAGATTAAGACTTCAATGAGTCTCTGAACCCAAGTATACGTACACAATTTTTTTCAGACCTTGCATAAAGTTGCATCTTATTCCGCTAATCAAAATTCGATAACAAAGAATGGAGGTCACCGAGCTCGTTTTTTTGCGTCGTCAGCAGTTAAAGGTAAAATTAAGGGTGCTTTTAGCAGGTCATACTGTTGCTATGATAACCTATTGTGTCATGAAAATGATAACAACAAGTTCGACCAGTGATAGGGCAGTCTTTTGATTGCAGCATCAACCAATAAATAGTGGTTGAAATGACCCATCAAATCTAAGTCTTGGAATGTGTTGGAAACTGCTTTGGTCCACCTTAAAATGGTCACCAGTCACAACCAGCTATGGCTTTCTGTCCTTTATTTTACAGCATTTAAACAAAGTCATTGGAGACTTAGATATCTCATTTCAAACACTGAATCGTCCTTGCCATGAAACATTTAAAGGAGCTCAGTCACGGTTTGCGCATATTGAAAAGTTAAGCCTCAATTTTTCAAATTCGTTGTTTGTAATCCGTGCTAATCTTCTCTATGACCTTAGCCATCCTTGTTCCTTTATGGTTTATCATTATCTCTTTGGTATTTTTCTATCTTATTAAACTGTTATTTTCAGGTTTCCTACCATTTTAGGGGAATTTTGTATGTGGCCAAAATAACTCAAAATACCGCGACTGAGCCCCTTTAAAGTAGATTAATGAGTTAGATGTGTGGAAAATGACTAGGTAGATTTAACACTTAATGACTTGTCCCGAGGGGAACTTCGTGTCGGGAAACATTGAGATTCTTGGGAAACAAAATTCACCATTCCCCAAGGGACCAGTCATTAAGTGATTTCTTATATAGCAAAACAAATGGGTCAAACCGGTGGAAAACAAATAATCACTTTATTGACAAATGACGTGCAACAGCAGTCAACATTTTTCGGGTAACAGTGAACTGTTTCCCATTTGACGTCACAGTTTTTGCAATGTTGCCCACTCATGGCATTTGGCGGGAAACAGTTTCATTGTTAGATGTCATGTGACCATGAACTAGCCAATGAATGGGCGTACTGTAGCGGGAAAAACGCCAGCTATATAACAAAGCAGGCTATCATACCTTTCTTTTGAGGAATAGTGACTGGGATGACTTCATTGTTAAATGTCCCTGCCTTAAAAAAATAATATGACAAATCAATCATTTTCTTGCAAACAGTACACTAAAGAGACATACGAAAATATTTTTTGGTTTGCTGTTCAAACAATGTGCAGTTCCAGTGTTAGCATCCATACTCAGTGCAAGGTAGGTCAGTTCACAGAAAATTCAGTGAGAGAAGTGAATCAAAAGCTGAAATTTGTAATTAGATCTAATAGCCCTTTTCACAGTTAATTTTTCTCATTTGCATTACAATGTAATCCAACGTGGATGTGAGGCAATTTTGGGCTAAAACTACAAAATAGCCCGAAATTGCCTCACATACATGCTAGATTTTATTGTAATGCAAATGAGCAAAGGTAACCGTGATAAGGGCTATTAAGGAAAGTATGAACTTCCAGATGGGTTGGGTTGGTGAGAGGAGGTTCACCCAACTCAGGAACTGCCTGTGGCAAATGCACACTAGTAGCATCTCTTATAAATGTTAACTATATATTTTCTTATTTGTTTGTTTACTTATTTAGAGCAGTTTTCAACTGAGTACTGTAAAACTAAAACCAAAGTAATCACCCAGGCCAGACACAAAATGCACAGAACATCCACTGAACCTATCAACAGGTAAAGCAAATATGTCTAGCTGGCATAAAGCATGGGAAAATGTGTGTGTGTCGCTACTTTCGATTGGTTTTGCTTCTTATCCCTGATTGAAGGACAAAGTAGCACAAGTATTTTAAGCCAGTACAAACCAAAGCAAAAGCCATATATTTTCAACAATCAAGTGAAAACTGCTCTATTTATACATTTATTACATTTTATTTACATGCTTTGATAGATGTATTACCTGCCATGCAGCTTCTGTCTTCTTGTAAGAACTAATTGCAAATTCATCCTGTTCCTCTCTGCTTATTTCAAGCTTTGATGCTGTATTTTCTGCACAGTTACCCTGAAGAATGGAAGAAAAACCAAAGTATTTCTTTCTTTAGCCCTGATCTGAGCAACAATTAAGAAATAGAAAACATGTACCGTGTTTCCATTGAGTTATAGAAACACGAGTGGAAGTTTGGGAGAACGAGAAATGCTGTGGGAACATGAGCTGCAGGTGAGTGTTTCCACAGCTTTTTCAAGTTCTTCCAAACTTTCACTTGTGTTTCTATAACTCAATAGAAACACAGAGAACATGTTTTCTATTTCTTTTAGAAAACACCGCAACAAAAAAGGAAAACAACTTGTTAACTTTGATTATCAAAATGTAAATTCTCTTTGCTTGCGCCATCATTACGTCGACAGCTCGTGCTAGTTCTGTGTTTCTATCGAGTTATAGAAACACGATTTTTAACCAATCAGCACGCATATTTTCTTAAGGCTGTTTTCTAATAGATTTTTACCAGGAGTTCCATACAATTATATACTATATATAAGTTTGAAATTGGCTAAGCTCTACATCTAGTATGTCCCACAGTAAGAATTTAACACTATAATGTGATTTGAGAAAAAATCCTTGCATACCCTATGAAAGGTCATTAGAAATTCTGAGGGGGTGGGCTTGCAAAAAGCCAAAAAAATTTTTAAGGAGAGTAGTGAAAGCTAAACTGGATTTTTTTTGTGGAGGGGTGGGTAGGGGGCTCCAACCCAAAAAACCTTCAGCGGGGAAGGAATGGATATTTTCTGCCACAACACAATTAGATTATACATGAAGTACTTAGAGATTGAACTTGAGTTGAAAAATAATATTTGACAAGGTCTGTATACAAAAACAGCTGCATTAGTTGACAAGTTTCTGTGTGGACATCTTGTCAGTTTGTTTAGCATTCCGCCTATCAGGTGACTTGTGGTGAGCTATTAGCCAACTGTACACAAGGAATGCAGTTATATTGACTGTCTTTCTAAGATTTTCTAGTCAAAGACATTGTTATACTAACACTGGATCGTTATTATGGGTACCAACACAGAAATGAAATCAATCAATACAGAAGCAAGCAAAACAAAAAATTGTTTGCAGTTGTTGGTTTTAGTGAGGATTATAGTCTGAAGTACATCATTACGTACCATGTGGATCTGATTATACACATCCCATAAGCCATCTTTGACAATTCCATCCTACAAGAAAAAAATAAACAGAGTTTGAAATGGCTTCCAGCATTTGAAAATACTTCATGACTGGATGACCTGCAGACTACTAGTGCAACAATCGAATTTAATCATTTTTGCACCCAAGTTTATCTGGTATCTGTTATTCATTGTCATTCATAATATGAGTTATTAAATTCATCTACATGTTGTTTTTACATTGCATTTGGCTGGCATTTCTCTTTAGCTTGTTTAAATATCAAAGTTTGAGTGTCAATTTATGCAACATGATTGTCTGAGTGGCAGGCATTCAAAGGGGAGGCAGACAGGAGAAGTTGAATTAGGAGCATGCCCTTGCACCCCATGCTTGAATTTGACTTCTCCCATCTCCCTCCCCTTCAAAGTGCCACACAGCTAGCGATATGGATGTCTACAGCTAGAGTGGACATCTTTTACCAGACCAGTCTGCAAAACATACTTGACCATGCTTGCATTACTGTGCAAGACTGTGATAAAGATTGAATGCCATGAATTGTGTCATTGTGGTTGCAACTGACAACCTGTCAGGGGCAGTGGTATTTGCAAGTAGCCCTGTAAATGAAAACTTTCACTACTCCATCAGGCAAAAAAAAAAGGTTCACGACTACATATACTTGCAGTTTTGTACCATAGTAACCTACTTCCATTGTGTGACCCCCATATTTTGGTGGATCTCTGCCAACTAGAAATGGTACATTAGACATGCTCTCCATTCCACCAGCAACCATCACTTCCTGGTGATGAAACAATACCATACAATTAAATTTTAAAAGATGTCAAAGCTTAAGGACCTTAAGTCCAACACTAATTAAAGCCAAACTGACCTATACTCCTGAAGGGGGGATCCCATACAAAAGGGATGGAGCTGCTCATCATACCTTTTAGGGGTTAAAAAAGCGGTTTTGCTACCTCTTAGGGTGTTCAGTCTCAAAAGGCCCACAACAGGAGCTTCTGTGGTACACTTTAGGGTATTGAGCCAAAAACAGTATGACAGGAGATAATGTGTTGTTTTAGAATTGGTAGTATTTGGTATACCTCTTAGGGGTGAAAAATATATCAAGCCACACCCACAAAACAGGATCTTAGTACCTCTTAGGAGTTCTTTACAAAGTTATAAACAACCCCATCCTTTTTGTGTCGGAGACCCCCCACTGGGCCTACACTACCAGAGCATTTCTGATCTTCTCAACATAACATGGGTGGAATCTACATGTAGTCCATAGAAATTGACTCCACCCCCACCCAGCATCTGGTCAGAGAAACAGTATCCATTCATCACTTCTGGGAAGAGAGAGAGATTTACTGCGAGAGTAAGTAAGGCAAGGTTAAAAGTCGAGGTTGGGCCAAGTGGTCCACACAGCTTTCATCAGGACCTTACTGTGGTTTCTGTAGCATTAAGTCTACTTCCCCCTGCAAGGAATGGTAGTCCATTGCAGGGTTACCACGCCCCAGCAATAAATTTGCTGGTACCCATTTCTATACCTGGGGGGAGAGAAGGCAAAGTGTCTTACCCGAGAACACAACACAATGACCCCAGCCAGGGCTCAAAACCAGACCTCTTGATCTGGGGTCCAACACACTAACTTTTAGACAACCACACCTCAAGCAATGGGGAGTAAGTGTCTCACCCAACAACAAAACACACTGACCCAGACCAGCACTTAAACTCTTTCGTCCAACATGCTAACCATTAGGCTGCCATGTTTCCTGTAGAAAGTCTCAAAGACAGAATCAAAATTCTCTTTAGAGCTTCTATACATTATCAAAAACCTACTTGGGAGAATTTGTGCTAAAGTAGATGCTCTTTGCTAAGATGATGCAAACCACATAAACACAGAAAAAAAATGTGAGACAATTAAACATTTTAGGAAGCTCTTAATAAAAAGCTTTCATCAAATATATAATTGCTTGTTTGTCTTTTTCTGTAGCATTCTTAATTACAAGTGACAAAATTATAGACAAGCCACCTGAACTCAACGAATGCAACAAAAATAACTACATGTATGATTTTGATCATTTACCAGTAAGTATTTTGGGTAACACTGCCCATGTAACTTCACATACCAAACCATCTTAAATAATATTCAGTATGCATAAGGATAGAACATTAATTTATCAAGACGCTGTTTAATGTTCGACAAGAAGCAAGTATGGAGGTGTTGATTTAGGGAGCAGGAGGAGGAGCAGCGGCAGCAACAACAACAAAAATAGCAGTAGAAACAGCTGCAAAAGCAAAGGCAGTAGCAGCAGCAGAAGCAGAAGTAGCAGGAGCAGCAGGAGCAGAAGCAGAAGCAGAAGCAGAAGGAGAAGCAGCAGTAGAAGCAGCACCGGAAGCAGCAGCAGAAGTAGCCTGTGAACGGACTCCGTCTGGAAGGGCCAAAAAGCAACTGGCTGAGAGTGAAGTGGCAGAGAAGAGAACGGGGTGGAACAACAACAGAACAGCAACAGAAGCTGAAGTGGCAGAAACAGAAGCAAAAGCAGCCGAAGCAGAAACAGAAGTGCTCAGCAGAAGCAGAAGCAGAAGCAGCAGCAACAGAAGCAGAAACAGAAGCAAAAGCAGCAGAAACAGAAGCAGCATAAGCATAAGCAGAAGCAGAAGCAGAAGCAGAAGCAGCATTAAAAGTACAATCAGAAGCAGCAGCAAAATCAGACCAGAAACAGAAGCGGAAGCAGGAGGAGGGTGGAATACATTATAACCAGTCACACACCCTCAACAGTTAGTTGCACTAAAAAAGAGTTTGGTCGTGATTATGTTGTGATGATGGGTTAGAATTTCATAGTTCCTATTTCCCATAAATCTGAATAGATGGAATACACTACAAGTTAACTGAAACCACACCTGATCTCCACAAGCAAGACTTTGGGCCGCCATCATAATGGACTTCATTCCAGAAGCACAGACCTTGTTTATTGTGGTACAAGGAGTTGATATCGGCAAGCCTGGAGATGGTGATAAGAGGACATATACTTTAGGGTTGCAGTTGCCAGTACTAGAAAGCTAGTTTGTGGAGGCTGTGGTGTTACTAACAGGGAGTAATCATGGAGATGGAATCCAGATCTACAATTTCCTGCCAAAATAACAATCACATCAAACTGACAAGGACATTTAAGAGCAGTTCTGCCCAAATATCAAATAGCCCAGGAAATAGCAAAAAAAGGGATTTCTTCAAACTTGCCCAGAATGAAGCCCTAGGGGCACTAGTCTAAGAAAGACTGGTCTAAATTTGATCAATCAGTCATTGCTTCTTAATTGAATATTTTCTTTTCAATGCCAATGCAATTTTCTTGCAGGAACAGTGGGATCTCCTTAGTGAGCAAGATAGCATCATCCTGTTTTTTTTTTTTAACAGATGACTGAATTTTAACTGTGTTAGTTACCAACACATTCAGTGACATGAATAATATGACTTCAGTAAATGAGGCAAATCATGGTACGTGTAGTTCTTATCTACATCTAAATTTATTAAGTTGATAAAATCTTGGAAGACATCACATCAACTGTACATAAGAACTAAAACAGAATATATATATGTACATATGCAAAAGTTAGATAAAAGTAAATGTGTCAAAATAACACGATAAATAAATAGTAATTCCTAGTTACAATTTACTTTACTTATTTCACATACTTCCCTAAATTTAAAAATATTACAATAAATAGTAATTCCTAGTTACAATTTACTTTACTTATTTCACATACTTCCCTAAGTTTAACTTAAAATCAGATAACGACTTGCAATTTACTAAGTCGGCGGGCAGTGAGTTCCACTCTGTTATTGATCTAGGAAAAAAAGAAAACTTAAAAACGTCCTTAGATACTTTTGGCATCCTATATTTAAAAGCATGGCTGTTGAGTGTTCTTTTTTCACTGTTTGGTATTTAAAAGTTCTTTTGTCATTAGGTTCTTATACCTGCTCCAAGGGTTGCCTGTCGTGCGGGAGCTTGACCTTCACCAGCTGTACACACATTTCCCATATAGACTTCTTGCACATCCTCTGGCTTGATACCTGAATTGTAAATACTGGTAAGATGACCAATACTACCTAAGTTAGCCTTTTGAGACCAAATTGAGTAAGATGGGAAGAAAAATTTTCTTGAGATGTTTTCTTCCCTTTAAAGTGTGTTGACATTAATTTTATTTAGGAATTATGAATCTCAAGCAAAAAAAAAAACAGCATCTCAACTTGTAGCTAATTTCCAAGAGATGACCTACAATGGTGGACAAAATTCCTGCATGAATTATCTGTCTTTTAAAAACGGAGTTTGAAAAAGCACTGTTATCCTCTTCAAAATTCATTTCTGCCCCCCCCNTTGAAACTCTGGAGAAATGTCCAACATTGTAGGTGGGGTGGGGGGAGGGACTGAGCAAGTGTAGTTGAATTCACGCACGACTGTTTGTTTGGTGCGTGTGAAAAAGTGCCACAAGTGCAAGTTTGTCCCAAGGCTTTTGTCCATGATTGTAGGTCCAAGATGTTTTCTAGCATGACTTCAGACTCCTTAATCCTTCAAGAGAAGTACAGGGGTTTCATTGACATTCTCAGCAGGAAGGCGATTGTTTGCACAGGCCCTTAATGAAACCCCTGGAGATAAACAGACAGTCAAATGAGCAGTACACTAAATGTACCTGCTTTTTCTACTGCAGCCTTGACAACAACAGCTCCTAGCCGGGGGGCTGGCACACTGCACAGGGAACTTCTAAAAGACCCTATTGGTGTTCTCACTGCACTGGCAATCACCACTTCCTGAGAAAAACACAACAAGCAAACCTTTTAACCTCAATGAAACAAATTATATTTCCATGCTCAAGACTAAACTCGAAACATCTAGGATTTGAACATCAAATTTATTTTAATTTTTTTTGCTATCTATTATATGCCTGCATGTATATAACTATAACTATAACTTTTGTAAAACGAATATTCTAATTTTGATTGTTTGATTCATTATTCAACTCTCGCTCTCCAAACATTCCAGTGTGATGATGACACACCTCTCTCACACCTCCAGTTTTTTCATCACAAGAAAAAAACCGCTTATTTTACATCTAAAACCTAGTTCAGATGTAGGTACAGTTAAAACCAATCTTAA